TCCAGATCCCATGCCAGTAGACCCTCTCCTCTACAACTCTTGTTTTGTTGTTTTCTGTTGCTAACATTTATTAGCATCCATGACATGCCAGGCACTTATACTAAGCTTTTTACATCCATTATCTCATTTTCATCTTATAAGAGCCTGCTGATATATTCACGCCATTATTATCTCCACTGTACAAATATGGACACTGAGGGTAAGAGAGGTTAAGCGACCTGCCTAAGGAAAATAATTGAATCCCAGCATAAACCGAGCTCCATCGGATGACATATCCTTAATATTATGGTAAGCAATAAAAGGGAAGGGATTGTGACTCCGAAGGAGGTACACAGAGAGAGGTTGAGGGCAGAGCCAATTTGGTGCTATATGGTTTTTTAAAAGATTTGCAAAATGTGTGTGAAGGTGGAGAACCATCTGGGTCTCCTGAATTCTCAACCTCAGCTCCTGCCTTTATGTCTTCCTCCACCTGTCACATGTGGTCCTTGCTGACCCAGGGGGCATCTGCTTGCTGTTTTCAGGGGCTGCGGAGAGCCTTACTCCCCTTGCAAATTCAGCAGAAACTGCTGTCCGTGTCACAGGACACGGCAGCTGAGACCCCGGAAGGGAGCTAGATACCTTCTGGTTTTTACTCAGCCTCAAATCCCTCATGAGTTTTCTGACCTGATTTTCCTCACTCAGGGGCTTGCAACACCAGCTGAAAAAGTTGCCAGGACACAGTCACCGGGTCTGTGTGCTAGAGGCAGCAGGTGTGTTCTCGCTGAGCTGGGGCAAGTGAGACAGAAATGTATGTGGTTGGCATGATATGTAACAAAGAAGGGAGAAAGTCAGGCCCTGCAAGACGTGGGGCGGCAACATTTGTGTTGGGGATAAAGAGGCAGGAGACAAAAAAGTGAGAGAAGTTAATGGAGGATCGGAGATGCTGGGAAGTGGAAGGTTCTTGCCCTACATATGCATTCATTTGAGCTTGTTTTTCGGGGAAGTCAAGTTTGCTAGCAAGTTATCTCCTTGAATCAGCTCCTAGCTCCTTAAGGGTCTTCACAATGGGTGGCCCAAGCTTGGAAGAATCACATATCTGAATCACAGCCCTGGATCATTCAGAGAAGAATCAGACAGGCTGGAAATCTGGGTACCAAGGGCCATCTTTGGATGACACTCCATTAACAAGCCAGTGAAAGAGGATGTGCCATTTAGAGTAAAAAATATTAAGTCACTTCGATAACAACAACAACAACAGCTAACATTTACTGAGCACTTAGTATGAACCATTCCCTATGTGGAGAGTTAATTGGCATGAATCACTTCATTTATTTCTCGCAACAACCCTCTGAGGTAGGTACTGTGGTTACCTCCAATTCGCAGATTGGGACTTGGAGTCCCTCAAGTTTAAGTGACTCACCCAAGGTATACAACTGTTGAGCAGCACTAGCAGGATTTGAATTCTCCTATTTTTCAAACTGAAGTTTGCAAGCTTCACTGCCTTACTGCCTGTCTTAATTCAGAGATATTGCTAAAAATTAACACAGCGAGGAGGAAGAGAGATGAACCCTTCCGCAGCCTGTAATCTTCTGGAAGGCTTGCAAAGATCCTTTGGCTTGACTGCTGTAAGAGATAGAGTAAGAAATGGCAGGATTTGCCCAGCCAGGGGCCATCCATGAGTCTTTTCTTTTTTTTTTTTTTTTTTATTTTTTAAACATTTATTTATTTTTGAGAGACAGAGAGAGAGGCAGAGCATGAGCAGGGAAGGAGCAGAGAGAGAGGGAGACACAGAATCCAAAGCAGGCTCCCATGTGGGACTCGAACCCATGGATCATGAGATCATGACCTGAGCGGAAGTCGGATGCTTAACTGACTGAGCCACCCAGGCGCCCCTGTCCACAAGTCTTTCGATCTCATCTGCTGGTTTGAAATAATTGCATGCTGTCGAAATCTACCTTTTCTCAAGCTTTCTTCTTCCCCAGTAGGCTTGGGAGGGTTTCAGGCAGGTAGGCACAATGGACTATTTTTTCTCTCTTGGGCTGGCACCATGAGGTGTGGCTGTTGGCTTCACCCTGGCATGCTGGCGGGCACAGGAACCGCCCGGCCTCTTTGAGCCAACAAAAAAAAATCCCGATGAGCCCGTTTATTAGATGAGCCCAGGTGAGCAGAACAGTCTTCGGGCTTAACAAACTCACAGGCAGGAAGTTAAATGAGCTCTTTCAGAGGACCAGGTTAACATCGAGTCCTCTGGAAGAGGTGTTTTACAAAATGGGACCCTGTGACAACAGGTTATTTATGCCATCGTAGGGGAGTACTTTATACGTAGTATTATCCTGGGCTGGACTCATCGCAGACTCAAGTTCAGTAATAATACCTATTACACGCTCCTGCAAGGGCTATCACTCCTTCTGTGTTTTGTGGAATTCCTCATGCGACAGGGGACAACAAACAGTCAATAATAATGTTTACTATGATAATGATCTTCCAAATGCCTTTCATCTGAGGATCTCGAAGTGCTATGTAAACACTAATTAGTTAAGCCTTACAATGGCTCTCTGTTTTTACAGTACATTTTCCTATTTTATAGAATTTTAAATTGCGACCCAGCAAACTTAAGTGGCTTGTCCAAAGTCATACAGCAGGTTTCAATTAATGATAATGATGATGCTTTGCATTTACACGGCATATGTTTTCTAAGGCAGCAAGAGTATGTTACAAAGATAATTTTCACACTATCCTGGAGGAAGGTGGGTAGCAAGTATTATTAGCTGTTGACTAAATTCGGTTAAACTGAGGAGGCAGGGAGGGCAAGTAACTTAGGAAGGATTAGACTGAGGGTACAGGTGTGGCATCCCGGACAATAGTCAGTTCTCTTAACGGAGGGATGCATGTCTGCTTTTGCCCTTACAGGAAAGGTAGCTACATTTGTGGAAGCAGAGACACGTTGTAGAATGACAGGCATATTTACATCCAGGAGTGGGTTTGTTCATAGCCCCACTGAGAGAGGCAGAAGGGAGGAGATGAACCGCTTCAAGTAAAGTTCCAAAATTTTGGAAGATGAAGGGACCCGGGGGCAGTAGAAGGAGGCTGCCGGCACCACTCTCTTGCAGAACATCTTTACCAACCCAGGGCCTGCCTGAAAGCAGTAGACTTCAACAGCCTTCTTCTGTGTTTCAGCCTCCTTACAGGGACTTGGTCTGGTGCAGCCTGGATGATGGGCACAACCCCATCACTGGCACCTTTGTCTGATGTTACAAGTCCTGAGAAAGAGTTCCAGGGACATGCAGTATCTTACCAGCTGTCTCTTACATATTACCAGCTCTCAGTCCCACAGCTTCCTATGCTAGGAGGGGCCTGGGAATCTTCCATGTTCAAAAACCTGGTAGCTGGGGAGACATTCACTGCTACCTTTTCTTAGCAACATAGCCACATCGAAAAAAATGAGAACGTGAACAAAATTATATGAAGACTAGAGGGACTTGCCTCCTCCCAGTCTGGCAATGCTTTCTGAGCAAGTGACGATACCTTACTGGGAGGCAGGTCCTGGTTTGCTGGGTGGGGGAGGAAACAGGCTGCTGGGTCTTAGGAATTCAAAGAGGGATTTGCTGACCTCAGATAGAGCCCTACTCTCTACAAGCAAGGCACTTGAGAGAAGTTTGCTGCCCTGCCCCCCACTCTGCCTTCTCCAGGCCTGTGGATTCTGATTGATGATTAGACCTTGGGCTAATGGGAAGCCTGAAAGGAGGGCGCCAAGCCCTTTTCTGGAATGTGATCACACACACATACAAGCACAATGGCAATAAAACGTCTGAAGGGAAGAACTCACACTAGTGCCCACTTTTTCCCGCTCTCCTGTTTGACTGTTTCCACTTTCCCCTGCTGCATAGGCAGCTCAGAGGTACCGTGAACAAGAAGAGGGGTGAGCCCCTGCAAGGAACATTGTCCTGAATGCACATCATGAGCCTCTTCTCCTGTGCTGAAAGGAATCCACAGAAGCCCCTCCCACCCACTGTTACTCTTCACAACGGAGTTGAGAGACTCTGCTGTCAGCTTTAAAGCAATTAGCTTTAGGTAAGAACTTCACAGAACGCAGCTTTGACTTTCTAAGTATGCCAGAGACCCAGGTCACAGCTACCTGTGTCTACTTTGACATGCTGACTCCTGGGGAGACAGGGCACATCATCCGGCTGGAGTCACAAGGACTGTGTCCTCCTCTCGGAGATGTGCCCTTAACACAGCTTCCCACAAAAGGTTCACAGCCGGGTCAGATACAGTCCTCAGGATCCATTCGCATGGCTGGACAGAGTGATGCGCATTCTCCAGACACCAGAAGCATTCCTATGGTCTCCTGCGTGCCACTACCGGGTCCTTTTGGTTTTTCTGGCAGTCGCCGAAGAAGTGCGTTTTATGTATATTAGATTCATTTTGTAAAGTAAGACATCTGCAGGGCTCCTGTACACATGGGTTGTACTTCACAGCCCAGCCTCCCTGTCAGTCAGTCTGCCCACAGATACGCTTCCCTCCCGCACAGTGTTTGGGCGTCAAGTATCCGGCCAGCTTCGAACTGATCATGAATGAGCACTGTCATAATAGCGCTGTAGGGGCTTGGGGTGGGAAGATGGAGTGGGTAAAACTAAAACAAAACTTGCCATTTGCAAACGTCTCGAAGATCTCAAAGGTAAAAAGCAGCTGGATTTGTTTTGTCTCTTTTCCCCATCCTCTGGTTTGGCCTCAAACAGCAGCAGTAAAAGATGAAGAATAACCAGGAAGGCTTTCTTTGTACTATTACCTTCTAGACAAGGTGCAAGGGCAACCTGGGAGACTAACAATTCTAAGAATTTCTGGGTGGATTAGATAGGCTCAGGATTCCACCGAGTTTCCGTAAAATGGCCACTGCTCACAGAAACTTACTCTGGGGAATCTCTGGCAGCAGCCCTAAGGGAGGGCTCATCCCTAACTGCTGGTATACACAGATCCAACCTTCAAATGGACACGATATGAACAAATAAGATCTTTCTTACCCCATCCATGTGGATTCTGATGTTAGGCACCAGCCGGAAAGAGCTAGACTGCAGACCCCTGGGGTTCGTCCTGCTTCTCCCGCTGTTCTGCGCTGTCAGCACGCCAGGCCTGTGGAAGGAGCCCCCTCTCCCCGAGCTCTGCCCCGAGCGCACACCGTCTAGAAGACGCACGAGCAGCAGGTTGGCCGGCAGTGCCTCGATGCTGCAAAACACCAGGGTCCTGCACTCGGGGCACCTCAGCTCCTTGTGGGCCTTGAAAATCCTCTGGAGACATGGTTTGCAGAAGGTGTGCTGGCAAGGGAGGACTTTGGCCGTGACATCGAGCTTTTCAAAGCACACGGGGCACTCCAGAAGATCAAGTAACGTCAGATCATCCATTTTATTTTAAAACTCCACTCCTGGCCTGCAGGGGCAAAGTCCACATGGTAGGGTGAGCTGAGCCGAGGGGGCAGATCCGGTAGTCGGTGGTCTCTCCGGAGCTTCTGAATTCCTGCCTGTTTGAATGAGAAAGGAAGAGAGGGAAAAAAATGAGACTGCTCAGAGAGGTGTATCCCACCTACATGGAGGCAGTGTCTCATAAGGCAGTTTGCAAGCACTTTGTTCCAGCACCCAAGTTTCAAATGACTCATTGTGATTCAGTGCTAGCAGGTATAAGGCTCAAGTCCTGCCTGCTCGAGGATCTGAGGGAGCATTCAGCACAGTGACGGACTACTTACTCATTGCCTCTCTTTGTGCAAGTGAGAGCAGAGGCAAAACGGGCCTGCAGAGTGGCATACCCACTAGGGCTTGAAGGGGTCCTTCCTCTCTCTCGTCAATTTCAGTTCTCCCACCAACACCCCCTCAGAACACAATTTCTGTGAAGCTATCTATTCCTCCTGCTTTCCCTAAGTTTATCTGTCATCTGCAGCACATGCAGACAGGTTTCATAGATAAGTTTATCAGAACCTCATGCGGATGTAAAATGATTTCCTTCACAGTGCACCTGCCCCCATCACTTTGTTCTAGCAAAACACAAGAAAAATTCCTACTGGAAACCCATTTTCAAAAATTGTTTGCCTTAAGTACAGGCCAGGATGCTTAGAAGCTTTTTTTTCTCCTTCCCTCCCTCCCTCCTTCCCTTTCTTCCTTTTTTCCTCCCTCCCTCCCTTCTTTCCTTCTTCCCTGATTATTCTAGCCTCAGAGTCAATATTACACCCACAAGATGAAGTCACACAGCCTATTAAGTTACTTTGACAATTGTTCTCAGTTCCACCTGAAGCAGATAGGAATTCCGGATTGTGGTCACAACCTGCAAAAATCCAGACAGAGCAGTGTATACAGGTGTGTGTGTGTGTGTGTGTGTGTGTGTGTGTGTGGTCTGAAAACATCCTTAGTCCAGAAACACTTTCCTTTTAGATGTCTGAAAAGAAGTCTCCAGTTGAGATGTCTCCCAGGAAGAGGTCACCTGTCCCTCACAAGTGGCAAATTTTGTGTGAACACAACGCCGGAGGGTGGGTGGCCCCGCCAGTAAGGGAAGCAGACGTGACTTACGGGATGAGATGGCGCCGAGTCTTCCTGAGACAACTCTCCAAAGTTGTCAGCTCTGGGGAGCCATGCGGGGGGCTAACCTTGAGCTTGTAACCCCAGCTGAGTTCAGCTCAGAGCCATCCTCTGATCCTCTGCCTGGCCGGGCTTCCTCCAACTCGCTTCCTTTTCCCCAAGAGCGGCTGCCACGCTTTGAAAACTTTAACAACTCCGAGTCTTACTCATTTCAGGGATCGCCTTACTCAGCCCTTGTTAACGCTTTGACTGCCTGGCAGCTAGCAGCACTGTTCTCTGACTTCCTTCTCTGCTACTGATCCTTCCTTCATGTAACTGAGTTGATTTCTGGGAAAAGATTACCAGGGGCAAAATATAAGGCAGCCCCCAAGGCTGAGTATTGACAGTTTATCTTTTCACTTTTCTTATTTTCTCTCCTATCCAAGAAGTTGAAACATGGCTTGGTTATAAACATGCCAAGGTGATTGTGTTTATTTTAAACCTTTCTAAGGATTTGCTGAAAAGGTCAAACATATTAATGGTAGCTATAACAAAATAAGCCAGCCACCTAAAACGTACTGCTCCTTAAAAAGCATAGTCATTCTTTGAATATGTAGATTTGAGATGGGCTTCAGTAGTCTTTTTGCTCAATCTCTTTAAATTTAAAAAAAAAATCACAAGTAGTACATCCACTTCTTTGAGACATCAGTGCACAGAAGGGTTTTGAAAAAGGAAAAACAATAGTTCCAGCATTTCTTCCTGCCCATGCCTACTGGAATCTTTTCATAGCACCAAATAATAATTATACTTCTATTTCTTGATTTATCAATAATATATTTCATGCAAAGCCACAGAGGTATTCAATAAAGTACTTAATAATAATAATATTACTGAACACCACAGTAGCCCTTATCTGCACTAAGCACTCTTTACCTGTATTAACTCATTTAATCCTTTTAGCAACCTGGTAATTTACTATACTCTTCTTTACCCTCATTTGCAAAGGAGGAAACTGAGACACAGAGAGGTTAATTCATCCAGGAGTCACAGCTAGCAAGAAACAGATGTTCTGTGCTCTTTACTACCATGTTATATGGTGGTACAGCTTTAAGGGGAGGAGAGATGGTTGAAGGGAGCTAAACCTCATCTGAGATGGCAGGAAGTCAAAAGATAATGACCCAAACTGACCAATCAACTTCTTTTGCAGATGAGGCAGCTATGCCCACAGAGATCAAGAGATTCCCCGAAGTTGCCCAGTAAGTTAGGTAGAGCTGAGACTAGAAACTGGTGTTCCTTTTTTTTTTTTTTTTTTTTAAACTATATCTCTTCTCTCAACTTAAGAATGACCCTTCTGTATTGTGTAGAAAGCACTTAGCCACAAATCCATGCACAAATCTTAAGGGCGGACCAAGCGGCCTGAGAACAGATCTTGGGGGATTACATGTTTTACAAAGTTCTTCCATGTTATTTCCCGAAAAGCAAAGATGCCTGGAGCTCAAAACAGGAGGGAGCTTTAGGATGAAGCAAACAAAGTCACATGTCTTCTGAGCACAGACCCCTGATTGAGTATATGTCAATTTCAGAGACCGTTTTCAAGTCTTTTTTTTTTCTCTCTCTTTTACAAAGGGTTGTTTGGGCTTCAACGATATCAAAGCCCATTCTGTTGCCTGTCTCCTTCAATAATTTCCACTTTTTATAGAATCTGTGCTCATCAGGAAGCCCCCTATAGGCTGCGACCCTTGTCCCTTACTCTTTTTCCCACTTGGTAAAGCTGAACCCGCTCCTCCGTGAGCTGCCCTGCAGTGCCCTCACCCTCTAGAAAGATCTGCTCCAGTGCCAGACTCCTGCTGCAGGAGTGGGCAGCATTTCCCCCCTCCCTCTCTCGTTCGTAAACACTCTGCCTCCCTTAGATGCCCATATCTGCACCTATAAGCATACGCACACACATACTGGCATAGACATACATATAACCTTAACGGTAACATTTATGAAGCACTTTATGTATGCCATGGACCAGGACTAAGACTTTAAACAGATTGCTCATTAAATCCTCCCAGCCACCCAGTAAGATAGGTGCTGTAACGTTCCAAGGATTGCAGAGCTTATGATCTGAACTCAGGTTGGCCCAATCCCAGGGCCTGTGTTCCTTTCCATTATCGCATCCCACATTATAAAGCTAGGTACATGCCATAAGTATACCGATATATCTTTACTGTTTAAATCCATACACATTTATACATATGTCCAGACTGTACACACGCCAGCTGATCTCAGAGCCAGCCTAAACCAAAATGATATAACCTGTCCAGTCTCATGGCTCCTCCATGCACTGCATGGTCACTGGTCTCAAGTAACTTCAAACGCTCCCATCTGTGACAAAACTCAAAAACCCAGTGCCATTCCAGGAAGGCAGGATAGATCCAGGAGGCTGCTCTGTGCTCACACATCTGGCAGTTGATGATTCAGCAGATACAGTGTGATAGAAAAATGGTAGGCACTCGCAAAGGACAGACAAATTTTACGCTGAGCAGGAGTGGTCTTTTAGCACCTCTCACATCAAACCCTGTAGGTGGTCCCCAACACCACCCACATGTGAGGTTGTCTCAGGAGAAGCTTTTGAAGCTTTTGCAGAAAGGGGAGAGTTTTAAATGGGGATTTCATCCTGGCTTACCCAAATACTCCCTTGGCATCAAATCAGATGAACAAGTAGTCCCCAAAAATAAACAAAAACGTGAACTACGCAGGTCTTCCCAGACTCCAGGCTCAGGCCGCCTCCTCTGCTGCTCCTAACCCATCAACACTCCTGTTTATATTTACACTGTTACATAATGATTACAGACAGCACTTTGAAAATTCCTCTGCGATATGTTTATGAGTTTCTTGCTGCTTCTATTTACAAGTATATCTCCATTTATGTGAAAAAAAAAAGTCCGATCTGATCATATTGTTACCCTGTTCAAAACCTTTCAGTAGGTTCCCATTGACCTTAGGTAACATCCAAATCCTGTTTTCTGGTGGAATCTGGCTCCTGCCTACCTTCCTGTCTCAACTTACCCCACATCTCCCCTTCCCTCACCCACACCAGTCCCACTGGCTTTCTCTTTACTCAAGACAGTTTAAGTTTCTCTGCCATGAGGTATTTTTTGTGCTCTTCTTTCTCTGTGACGTACAATTTCCAGTTACACTCTTCTCTTCCTCTCTTCCTAGTTACCCTCTGCCACCCTTTGTTTTTTTTACCCCTTCCTCTGCAAGTTTTAACTTAAATGCTACTTCCTCAGGGAAGCCTTCCTTGATTCTCATGACTCGAGAATTTGTCTTCCTATACTTGTCCTTCATAGCAGTTATCACGATCGTAATTTGATAATTATGCTCTAATGATTTAATGCCTGATTCCCCAAACAGACAAGCTCCAAGAAGGCAAGGCACTTATGTGTCTTATCTCTGCTCTATCCCTCAACCCTAACACAGTGACTGGCATGTGGTCGATGCTTAATAAATGTTTTTGAATGATTTATTAATGAATGAATGGTATTGTTAAAAAAAGAACATGTCTGGACAGATGTACAACAAACTGGTTTTTGTGTATTTTTGTTTGTTTGTTTGAGTAGGCTCCACACCCAGTGTGGAGCTTGAACTCACAACCCTGAGATCGGGAGTCACATGCTCTACCAACTGAGCCAGCCAAGTGCCCTCACCAAACTGTTGTTAATGGTTTTACCTCGGGCACCTCTGCAGTGCCAGTTGGAATGTCATTAGGCTCATCTCTTAATCTAAGAAATTTTTCAGATTTGGGTGTATGCTCCCTGGCAGTGTCTTTCCTCAGGACCCTGCCACACATCTCCTGCCTCCTGCCCTGCGGCATCTCTGATGTTGCAGTATGGGATACCCATGGGAGCTCGCTTTGCACTCACATGTGCGTGATCCAGAAGTGTGGACCACCCTTGACCAAAGGGGAGTCTTTGGATCAACACCTCCCCTTTTCATCTTTTGGAGTAGGTCGTTCTGAGATTTCATAAGGCTCTTCATAAGGTTCTATGAACCTTCATGAGGTTCATGCATCTGTTGAATGGCTAATGCGATAATGTACCCCTGTATTATCTCTTCCTCATTCTGTGTCACTCCACCATCCCTAACCCTTGCTCCCAAATAAATTGCCTTCAAACAACGCTTTTTTTCAGGCTAAGATAGTTTCTTTCGAATTTAAAATTAGGTCGCAAAACAAATACGAATTTTTTTGTCAGATGTACTTATTTATTGGAATTATAATTTGAGAGTTGTGTTATTTTCATTTGGCTGGCTGCTATCCCTTTGGTGGTCTCAGGCTCTTTGCCTTAAAGTTCATCGTTTGTAAAGCCATCCCTACATCCACCAAAGGGACTCAAGCAGTTGGAAATCTAAAGCATTGTAAAAGAAGGGGTCAGGAGGACTCTTTTGACTTACTGGACTCTTTTTGGCAGGGGCCACACTTTGTACTTCTCTCTCTTTCCTTCGTACCCAGTATAAATGTGGAAATGTTTTAAATACTTAAATGAAGCTTCGTTTTAATGTTTCTCTGATGCTAAGTTTACCCCTGTGAAACCTTTGGAAGCATTCAAGGAGAGAAATGTTTGGAGGAAAATGGGAAGCTTTCAGTAGTGGGAAAATGGAGGAAAGCTGAATGGCAGGGCTTGAATGCTGATTAGATATTCTTTCCTTCTTTGAACGATGCAGGCCCAGAATGAAGTTGATGGTGAAATTTCCTCTCCAATCAGGAGAATGTTTGTAGGTGAGCAGAGTACTTTAGGGTATGAATATGCACTCACCAGACCCACAGTAAAGTGACCCAAACTCCTTGCAAGAACTCCATCTGACATTTTATAGAGATGACTTAAGGTCCTTAAGTTTAACGAGAAACCGGCAGTCAACAGTATGGTTTTAAAGTCTAATAGACCTGGTTTGAATCTCAGCTCTGCTAGTTACTAGATGGAACACTTGGTTGAATTACTACATTCCTCTGTTCCTTGAATTCCTTATGTAAAAAATAAGGTTACTAATAGGGCCTCTCTCACTAGGTTGTTCTGAGGAGTCAGAAAAGTGATGCATACAATAAATGCTTAATAGATGTAGAATTCTTATCTTCTTTTTTTGCAAGCAGATCCCATAAGAAAATCAAGAACCAGACGGTTCTCCTCTAATCCAAACTAAATCCAAAGAACATGCCAGAACATATGGTTGGTCAGTTCTCTGTGGACCAAGATGCTCTAACACCGTGCGTCCCTAACTTCAGTCATTTGCATCCTATTCTTTATGCTCTTTGCCATAGACACATACTGAGGCTTTCTCTGATGCAGTCAGAAGAGTGAAGGAGAAATTAGTAACTTTCTTGCTATGTGGTTTTGTTTTAACCATTTTCTGTTGGGGTACCCCAGGCTTTGGGACACTACTCCCTTCTAGTGTATTCTAAATGAATTACAATGACTGTGAAGAACCAAAAGAAGGGCAGAGCCCTACCCATTTTCTGTGCTATAAATGGTGGTTTACCACCTGTGCATCTGGTGAGGGATTCTTACTTGCATTTTTACCTCTTCATTTTTAATAGAAGATAATGATCTGTTTTTTAATTTCTTTTAGTGTCTATTTATTTTTGAGGGAGAGAGAGTGAGTGAGCAGGGAGGAGTAGAGAAAGTAGGAGAGAGAGGATCTGAAGCGGGCTCTGCGCTAACAGCAGAGAGCCCGATGTGGGGCTTGAATCCACGAACCATGAGATCATGACCTGAGCCAAAATCAAGAGTCAGATGCGTAACCAACTGAGCCACCCACGTACCCTGAAGATAGTAATCTACTAACATGGTTGTATTTCTTCCTCTAAATGATTAGAATTCTAAAGGCAGTTGTGCAAGAAGGGAAAGTAGGAAAGTAAGAATGCATCTTACCATTCTGTTAATATTAAAAAATAATTCAGCTGGGCAAATCCAAGTAAAATCTGTAGTAACTTATTGTATTGTGTCAATGTCAGTTTCCTAGTTTTTATACTGTATTATATATAATATGTTACCTCTTTATATATAGAAGCTGGTTAAAGGATATAAGGGACTTCTCTGTACCATTTTTGCAACTTCTTGTGTTCATAATTATTTTAAAATAAAAAATTAAACAAAAAAGAAAAAAGGAAACCACTAAAAACCTCAAAACCTTGTAAATATGTCCCTATCCTTTGACCCTGAAATAGTACTTCTAGAAATTTATACTAGTGTAATAGATATATACCCAAATATGTTTCTCATAAAATTACTTGTAATAGTGAAATGTTAAAGACATTCTTAATGTCCAGCAACAGGGGAGTGTGTAAACAGTATACATACATATGTGCGTGTGTGTGTGTGTGTGTGTGTGTATACTATCAAATATATACTAATAATTATATATACGAATAAAATAAATACTAATATATACATATACTGATACATATGTATTAATACTGATACATACATATACTAATATATACTAATAATACTAATACAAATATATACTAATAAAATATTAATAATATTTGATATATACTATCAAGTGTATATATCAAATATATATACTATATATGTGTATATATATACTATCAAATATTCATATACTGTCAAATATGTATATTTGATATATACTATCAAAAAAGATAGTGGAGATGTATATTTATTTTGAAGTTGATTTATATGTTTTGAAAGAAACAGAGTCTGAAGCGGGTCCCATACTGACAGCAGAGAGCCCAACGTGGGGCTTGAAACTCATGAACCGTGCGATCATGACATGAGCTGAAATCAGATGCTTAACTGACTGAGCCACCCAGGCGCCCCTGTGGAGATGTATATTTAATGACATAAAGGACATTCATAATTAACTAAATACAGAAAGTTACAAGTTGTATGAGCCTAATGTATTTAAGAATAATACATAGATCTATAATATTGAGACTAGTGGAATATATGCAAAACTGTCAGCAACAGTTATTTCTGGCTTCTAGATTTATTAGTTGATTTAATTTTTTTCATTTTGTTTACATGTTTTTCTAATTTCTCTACAATGAACATATGTTACTGGTATAAAATTTTCAAATACAATTAAGATAGCTGAAATCACTTTAGCTTTGCTGAAACATTTACAACAGGGAGTTAAATCCTGTAACGCTAATACCCTATGCATTACCATTGATAACACAAGCATTAAAAAGAAAAATAAATTACAAAACTCCGAAACTGCTGGATGTAGACGTTAATCCATAACAGATACTGTGCCTTACAAAAGAAAAGGGCTGTGATCACTTCACTCCTAACCGGTCTTCTTCCTCTTCCTTTACTCTTTCCTTTCTGATGAAATCAGTAACTGTTTTGATTCAAAACCATGAGCAGGATCCAACCTTGATTCTTATTAAACTCAGGACAAGTCTGTGCAAAAGCTGACAGTTTGCCTAGGCTATTGGGTAACCACAATCTTATACTTTTGATCACAGGTGGGAAAGTTGCAAAAGTCAGTAATTTGCTAAATACCCTGATTAGTCCTAGATGTCTCTCTTCATAGGTGGCTCTTCTAGGATAAGAAACACATAAGGAGCAAACGTCGTCGTCTTCTTTTTTTAAGAATTAGAATTATTTTCCTATAACTGACTATAAACATTTGTCAAATCAATTAGACATTTCTTGAGCCCTGTAATGGTGCTAATTATATATTAATTATGTAATATTATTTACTCACTTGGCCTTATAAATTGTATCTCTCTTCCACATAATCTCTGTTCTGTAGTGCTGGAGCCATCCCTGTACTGTTTAGTTGTACCTGACACTCAGAAGTGCTTAGTAAATATTTGCTGAGTGATGAGGATGGCTCATCTGTGTTGGGAATTCTTAGTGCATTCCTAGGGAGAAAGCCTGGGAATTCTTTGGAAACCTACTTCCATTATTAACAGTTCTGTGACCCTGGGTATTCAACAGCTTAAGCCCCATCCATAAAAGTGCCATCAGGAATATGTACTTCTCAGGCTTGCCCTAAGGAATGCACTTCCCAGCATATATTGGTACCACTTAGAAGAGTGTCTGGTGCATAAAAGTTGCTTGAACGATACTAGTTGACCGTATCTGAATTCCTCTTTTCATCCTGTGATTTACCTTTTTTCTGCAATTGCTTCTAACTTAACACAGTGGTTAAGAGCATAAGCTCTGGAGTCAAAAGGTCTGTGTCATCTTATTAAATAAGAGTGTGACCTAGAGAGAGTTGATTAAATACTCTGTACTTGGTTTTCTCATCTGTAAAACGGGGACGATAATAACAGCACTTACTCTGTAGGATTATTGTGAGCATATAGTGAGAAAATGCTCATAAAATGCTTCAAAGAGTGTGACAGAGAGTAAGTGCTCAGTAAAGGTCAGCTATTACTCTCTTACCAGGCCTCTTATTATCTATCGTTTTGCATCTAAAGTATAGTTTAAAACTGAGCCCAACTCCTGGTTTATTTTCCTGAAGGAATTATTCATCCCGATTTAGCCATGACGTGACTGTCAACTCAGAGGAGCTGCCTAGAGGCTTACTTGGTTTTGGGCACTGCTGCACCCTGCAGAACTTTAAGAGGGGGTGTGGTTGGCTATTATGCTGGAATAAATAATAACAATTAACATTATTTTGTGCCAGAGTCTGTGCAAAGAACTACAACCCTGTTATTACTCCCATGTTAACAGATGAGGAAAGAGAAGCATAGGGACAGCATTGCCCCAGACAGTGCTTGGGGAGGTCAGGCCTGATGCCCGGGCAGTCTGTACTACTAACCTCCAAGTCATCCCATTAGTTGCATGTACCATCAAAAAAGAGGCTATTTTAATCAATACTTCATTGCAGTTTTGACTGCAGATTTTTATCTTTACTTCCATTCAGGAGAACCGAAAACTTGGAAACATAGGCAGCCTTCACACAGTAATATCAGGTTAATCTATTAGAAACGGAAAGGGAAATAAGGCTGAAACACAAACAGAGGGAATATCAGGGGTACTTCCTTCTTATTTATTTATTTATTACAAATAGTTTATTGTCAATTTGGTTTCCATATAACACCCAGTGCTCATCCCCACAAGTGTCCTCCTCCATGCCCATCTCCCTCCTCCCCCCGACATCCATCAGTCCTCAGTTTTTGTCAGCATTCAAGAGTCTCTCATGGTTTGCCTCTCTCCCTTTCCCCCACCATTTCCCCCCTTCTCCCCCATGGTCCTCAGTTAAGTTCCTCCTTATCCTCCTAAACGTGCAAACATATGATATTTGTCCTCTGCCTGACTTATTTTGCTCTAACACCCTCAAGGTCCATCCATGTTGCTTCATATGTTTATTTAATGTTTATTTTTGTGAGAGAGAGAGAGAGAGAGAGAGACAACGTGCGAGTGGGAGAGGGGCAGAGAGAAAGGAAGACATAGACTCTCAAGCAAGTTCCAGGCTCTGAGCTGTCAGCACCGAGTGCAATGCAGGGCTCGAACTCACAGACTGCAAGATCGTGACCTGAACAGAAGTCTGATGCTCAACTAATTGAGCTACCCAGGTGCCCCGGGGGTACTTCCTTTTTAGATAAAATAATGAGAAATGCCAAAAAATAAGTAAATAAAAACTGGTCAAATATCCTGACTTATTATTTTATTGAAATATATTTGGATAAAAAATTCTTTGGTTTTTAATAACAAGGAATCTCATAAACATAACCAGAGTTGTTAGCTCATTTTGGTTTTCAAGCCCAATTTATGATAGAATTGATTTGTCAGCCAGAATTCTAATATCTATTTGTCCTATAAGGTCTCGTTCTCCATGTGCAGTATTATGTTTGTAGTCATTAGCCAGGGATAGAGTAGGAGTAGAGGGGTATGGGTGTTGAAGAAGAGGGCTCAGATGGTGCCCAGTTCATTTCTGGATGTCACTCTCCAACCTCAACCACCCCTTGTCCCTTGCTTCGGGCTAAAAAAAAAGTCTTGGATTCTAAACCAACTTCAGCATTTTGGCATTATCTATCAAAATTTTACATGTGTGTCCTTTTTACTCAGTAATTTCCCATTTAGAAGTTCATTCAAGAGAAATGCCCACAAAAAATGCAAAGTTACAAACAAGGGCATTTAGTTACTCTGTTTGTAATTGAAGACAGATGGAGCTGACCCAAATATCCAGTAGGAAGGGACTGTATATGTACCATAATGTGGTCATACAGAGAAATAAATAGGTAGAGTTGTATATACTGACATGCATATAATGAAAGAGAAGACTGTAGGCAGTGCACATATTATTCATAATATTATAGAAGGACTTCGTAAGGAGAGACAATGATGACTGCAAACTCAGATGCATAAGGGGGCCAGACTGGTTTTATAAATGGGTGAGGTGGGGAATGTGACAACCTTGAGAGCACACCCTATGTGAAAGCAACTGACTCCACTCAGCCTCAGCTAATCTTTGCTAGTGGGCTGGCAGATCTTGGGTTTTTCCAGAAACCTATAAATCATGGTACTGTTCATGCTATTTTGTGATCGTCTGTTTCCTTCTCTGCTACTTTGGAAGCTCCATGAAACTATTTCAGTTACATGAACCTCCTGATTTTTATTATGTGGCAACCGTTAGAAATATTTTTAAAAAGTTTATTCTAAGTGGTCATTTGCAAACTAGATTTGTCTTGCAGGCTCACTGCCTATCAATCTCTAAAATACTCTTAGCAATGGCTCTCTCTGGGGAATCATGGTTTGAGCTGATATCAGAGGATGGTCTTTCACTCTAGCATCTATACGTTGCTCTATATTTGAGGGTGTTTTGGTTTGTTTGTTTGACCATGGCAAGAACCAGTTTACTGGTCCAGTGGAGGGGCAACGATCTATATAAGGAAGAGTGAGGGCTGAGCCCCCCCCCCGCCCCCCCGCCAGTGACCTAGAAATCATTCCTCCACCAGGTCCTTGAGGCAGGCCTTATAACAGCGGAGGAAAGGGAGAGTGGGTGGATGCTGGAAATAGGAGGTCCACGGTGTTCTCCAGACAGGAGGCACCCCCTTATAATAATGTCTAGCAGGGCCTTGAGCCACGTGGGAATAACCTTGAGCCTCACAAGCCTCTTGATCCACAGCTGGTCCTGAGGCCATGACTTCCCCGAGAAGAAACAGGGGGTGTAACTTGGGGAGTGTCCACTTCCTTGGATGAAGACAATGGGATCTGCCAGGAAAGGTCCCTGGTCATACATGCTTCCTTACTGGTTCCTAGCGATCTCACCATTGGCCTGTGACCACTACCAGGAAGGAGCTTCTCGCTCACAGCCCCACAGATCTGGCTGGGGATGCCCCGGCCTCTGGGCCCAGAGCTGCTGGCCCACCCTCCACAGAACTAGCTTCTCCTCCCCACCCACCCTGCCCTCAGGCAGCCCAGCACAAGCCTCACCTGGCAGGTCATGGCTCTGTCAAGGACACCGCAGGTCTGGCAGTCTTATTAGCTGCTCCGGCCGTGTCCTGTCCCCTGCTTCTGACCCCACCAGCCAAGGGCCCCTAAGGCAGAAGACAGTTGGCCGGAAGACTTGGGGGCCTGGGGAGAAGGTGGTAAAACGTGGAACTTGGAACTTTCACTCTGAGCAGCTGTAGCAGTGACAGGAAGGGGGAGACTTTGAAGTGTAGGGGGCCAATCAACCCGACCCCAGCCCCTCCTGGCACTCACCTTCCTTGGGCTCCAACAGCTTCCTCACTGGGTTTTCAGTGGGTTCCGAGTTTGAGCAGACAGCAGAGATGCCCGAGTTGGGGCTCAGCATGAACTGAGTGAGGGGGGTGCTCAGGGGTCACAGCTAGACTCGAAGGCCCTGCATCTGGGAACGGGACCAACAACATGTCACTCAGTAACTCTACCCGAATGTTCTGCTGGGCAGCACGGGCGCTGCTTTGCCCTTGTTGTCTGGAGACTTATCCGACTCAGGAAAGTCCCCCAACTCCTGAGGTGACAAATTTGAAGAACTGGCTCGCAGGTCGTGGGGGGTCCTCACTAGGTTCTGGGCTGAAGACTTCTAGGGGAGGGTGGACCGAAAATTCCTTTTCCGGGTCAAAGCGCCGGAGTGCAGGCTCAGTGCATCTGGTCTGGGTCAGGGCCTGGAAGAGGCGAAGTCTGCCAGCCTGGGGTCCTGCCGCCAGCTAGGTGCCCAGGAGGTGCGGATGAGGACGTGCCTGCAGCCCTGGGCCCACCAGGCCTGGCCCGCCAGCGACCCTGGCCTTGCCCCAGCCAGGTAGGATGCGCCACCTACCCCGCAGTGGGGGCAGAGACCGGAGCTGGCCTGTCCGGGTCTCGACTCCCTGCACCTCTTCGCACCTCTTCGAGTTGTAGGTGTGAGTTCTCTTACCCACAGCAGGCCTGCCTCTAGCGCAGTGGGGCCTTCTTGTCTATCTTCCTCTTGTATAATAAAAAATCTAAATGCTGAGGGCACATTTAACTGACCTTATGCTAAGAAGGTCTGAACCAAAGGGAGTTTCCAGATTACTGCAAACTAGAGCCAGTTCAGGAATTTGCCTTACCTTTGGTTGCGTCACCCACCTCAAGAATGTTCAATCTGGGGGTGGGGGTGGCGGGAGTGCCTGCGTGGCTCAGTCCATTGAGCATTGGACTTCAGCTGGGATTATGATCTCACAGTTGGTGAGTTCCAGCCCCGCTTTGGGCTCCGTGCTGACATTTCAAACCTGGATCCTGCTTGGGATTCTGTGTGCCCTTCTTTCTCTGCCCCTCTCCCACCCATTCTACTTCTCTCTCTCTGCCTCTCAAAAATAAATACACATTACAAAAAATTACAGAGGAAACAAAGAATCTTGAATTTGGTGGATGCCCCTGGGCTCTTCTAGATGCATCTAGATAATGCTAACTGGCTTATCTAGATAATATTTTGGACTAGGGTTTCTGTGGCCTTGAGATAGTTCTGACCATGTTGGACTATATGAGTGTCTGGGGGTGGAAGGAGCATCTTAAGGATCTACTGAGAGAACAATCACATCTCTCATTTCCAAGGTGTATCCTGAGCTTGTGGGAAGATGAATAAGGGATCATCATTCACTCATTTACTCATTCACTCATTCATTCAACAAAGATGTTATCGGTGTTTACTATGCACCTGTTCGGTGTTGGGCCACAGCCTCCTTCTTTGAAGGTGTTACTGAAGCAAGTAGATGATTACAAAATGGGGTGAAAAGTGGTGTCATGAGGGCCAGCGCACTGTGTCGTGAAGAGATCCCACTGAAAATCCCTAAAGAGGTGGCACCTGGGCTGAGTTTTGAGGGATGAGTGGGAGAAGGAGTCAGCCTGGTAAAGAAAAGGTGGTGGGGAATTCCAGGTGGAGAGACCCACAGGTGTGAAGGCAGAAGGCAGGCGAGGACCTGGGACCTCCTGGGAACAGCTTGTATTTGCACAGCCTGAGCACGCAGTCTCTGCAGGGTGCAGCAGGCTTCAGGGAATGGAGGATGGGCCTCTGCCCAGTGACAGGTGCTTACTAAACAGTCCGGGATGCCTGGGCTCTATTCTAAAAGCAGCCGAGAGCCAAAGACAGATTTTAGAGTAGGGAGACTTTGGAGCTGTTTTATATATTTATGTCAACAAATATTTTCTTTTCTTTTTTAACATTCATTTTTGAGAGACAGAGGAAGACTGAGCATGAATGGGAGAGGAGCAGGGAGAGGAAAGGCACAGAATCTGAAGCAGGCTCCAAGCTCAGAGCTGTCAGCACAGAGCCCGACACAGGGCTCAGACTTATGGACCGCAAAATCATGACCTGCGCTGAAGTCAGACACTCAACCAACTGAGCCACCCAGGCACTCCAGTCAACAAATATTTTCATTCAGAGCTTTCATTTTATGTTGCCTTGGTTTTATGATCCAAGGGGGGAAATACTGTGTCTTTAAGCAAAAAAGAAAAGTAACTTGTTTTTAGAACAAACAAACAAATAAACCTCCAGGGGCACCTGGCTGGTTCACTTGGGAGAGCATTCCATTCTTGATCTCTGGGTCATGAGTCAAGCCCCACATTAGATGTAGAGATTACTTAAAAATAAATAAACTTAAAAAAAAAACCCAGTTCTACAAAACGATGTCTGAGAAACTGTAGCTTCTATGTTTTGTGCCTTCCTGTGCTCTTGAATTTTAGAGACGTTTCATGACATGGCATACACAGCCCACAAGTTAATTAAGCCATCGGCTTAGAAGGTTGCTGGTAGATTCCAAGCCAGTTTCGAGGGTGTGTATGTATTTTCTATGGGGAGCTGGTTAAGGCATCCATAACATTATGGTAATCCTCACTGAATATTGCTAGCGTTCCAACTGGTATTTCATGTCATTCGTGGCGTCCTTACCCACTAAGGGCCTTGCTTCCCTGGAAAGGTGGTGACTAGTCAATTAATAGGAAGAGCACAAACATGTTCAATTTGGTGAGAACTTGACTTCCCTGTCTCTCAAGGTGAAAGGGAAAAGTCTGTGGTTTTTGAGAGAAGGGAGGGGAGGGAGGAGCAGACCGGGGTGACTGAAGACGCTATGAAAGCCACACAATTGCTGTCAAGGTGGTTTTTCACCCCTGGAGCAAGGTGATCTCATTTGCTGCTGCATATGCATTCATCCTTGGTTTTCTGGTCTTTTCGCCACGAGGACGCGTGTATTTGCTGAATATGTAAGTGTGCTCCGGGGAGGCTGTGAGGATTTTAGAGAAGGGCTACACAGGATTCAAATTCTACTCTGCAACACGTTTAGCTGTGAGAGCCTGGCACAGTTGCTTTCCCTCCCAGATCTGGTGGCAGCATGCTTACGTGGCATGGGCTTTTGTGAGAATTAAATGAGATGAGATATTTATATGTAGTGACTGGCACATAACTGATGCTCTGTAGATGTTAATTTCTCTCCCAACCCTCGGCTGAAGCTGCCTTTAATTGGTTTCCAGGGGACTAACCATTTGTCTCCTTGACTCTCTGTCATGTTTCCTTTTCACTGCTAGGGAGACACGTCTAGGGTAGCAGGAGGGACCTGCCTGCCAATCCCTGTTACTACTAACTTTGGAGAGGAAACTCCATACTTTTGAGACTTCGATTCTTTCTCTTCCTTCTTCTTCTTTTTTTTTTTTTTTTTAAGTGTATTTATTTTGAGAGAGAGAGAAAGAGAGTGCAAGCAGGGGAGGGGCAGAGTGAGCAGGAGACACAGAATTGGAAGCATGCTCCAGGCTATCAACACAGAGCCCACCGGATGCGGGGCTCGAACTCACAAGCCGTGATATCCTGACCCAAGCCGAAGTCGGACGCTTAACCGACTGAGCCACCCAGGCACCCCTCCTCCTTCTTTTTGAGAGAGAGAGAGAGCGGGCACAAGTGAGCAAGGGGCAGAGAGAGAGAGAGAGAGAGAGAATGGGGGTGGGGAGAGAGAGGTGGGGCTTATCTGGGGCTAGTGTTTTACCCTAAGTGGGGCTCATGCTCACCCGATGAGGGGCTAGTGTCTAGCTGGAGCTTGTGTTTTACCTGAAGTGGGGTGAGATTTAGATTCCTTCTCGATAAAAGAGCAACGGTGATGCTCGATGTTCCTGTAGCTTCTACAGTCATAGTGAGGACTCTGTAAAGTAAGGCAGGGTCCTCAAACTTTAGAAGGCACCAGAAACATTCATTTAAAGCTAGTTCAAACCGACTGCGAGGCCCCTTCCTCAGGGGCTCTGATTCAGCAAGTCTGGGGCGGGGCCTGGAAATTTGCAATTCCCAGGCAGTGCTGCTGCAGTAGTACCAGGCCTCGAGTGGGGGATAGAGCCTGGCACACTCTGAACACCAGACGGATGTGAGCAACCGTCATCTGTTGCCTTTTGGGGCACGGGGTGATACTACAGACACCACAGCAGGGCTGTAATTCTAAGTTTAGGGTCCTTATCTTGACTATGTGAAATAATCGCATAATTTAGTGTTTTTAGGAGGTGCGAATTTACAAGTCATTTCTGTCAAAGACGTTCTGTGTGACCCAGATGCTGGAATAAGGGGCCCAGACTGACTGGGTCCCACTGGCAGTTTTACCAGTCTGATCCCCTTGAGGCAAGACTGGGCTCAAAATACAGATTCCTGGAATATTCTCCTCTTGCTTTCTACCAGGTGTGGAGGACATGTTTGGGGGAGACTGGGGAAAATGATGGGAGACGTCCATACGCCAGAGTCTCCCTTGGTCTTGTCGAAAAAGTCTCATTATCCCCAGGGTTTCTAAGTCTGTGAAGGAAGGATCTTCCCACTGAGGAAATCATAGGCCCTGACTCCTTTATTTTAGAAGGTGGATGGCAAAGATAAGGGGCATGGTGACACCTCTGCCACTTAATGAGCAGTCTGAGTTACAGATCTAAAATTAACAGCTGTTCCTCCTCCCTCCCTCCCACCCACCCACCCAATACTTAAACTCTCCTTTGTCATTGCCTCTCAGAGCCCTCAGAGTTGCAAGAAGCGCTGCTTGCATCCCTAAACCTTCAAAAACAGCCGTGGGTGGGTGGGGGGATCGCTGATGCATTAGGGCTACCAGTCTATGTTCTGGGGGCCGACAGACGGGGCCCATCTCCCCATTTTCTGGTTTGGAGTGTGACCTCAACAAGTGACCTTCTGAACTCCATTTTCTTATCTAAACTGAGGGCAGTAACAGTACTCATTTCAAAGGGTTCCTGTGAGGGATAATTAGAGAAGCATGTGAGGACTCAAGGAATGACAGCTTTTGTTACTCCGGGGGGGATTGTGAAGAGTTCTGGCACCAACTCCTGCATGCCCTCCCTGAGCTGTCACTTTCGCAGAATTATCCAGCAGTATTCATCTGGTTTGCGGGGCCTACACTCTTAACTTTCCTGCATTTGTTCATATAGCTTTGGACCACGGGAGAAGGAGAAAGCCCTTTGCATGGGGCCTGGGAAAGAAACGGCGGCACAGGGACAGTGACAAGTTCTGTGAGGAACCCAACCCTGCCTGACCCCGAGAAGCTCTTCTCAGCCCCTGTGTTCGAGCCGCGAGTGAAGGATCTCTTCTCACCTGGTGATGTGGGACACTCAGTGGCTCCGAGGCCAACGTGACAGAATGCAGAGCTGGAGAAGGGGTCCTGTGAGAACCCAAGGGAACCCAAGTCTCTTAGCAGTTCCAGGAGGTGGAATCCTGGGCGGCACAGCTGTGTCTTCATAGCAGCCGCAGCTTTCGTGGGACAACAGGCAATTCCTCTAGGAACTTGTAGGTGGGTAGTACGTAAGAAGGAACATGAGGAAGGTTTCCGGGATTCTCCCTCTAGGTGGGGAGAAATCCATAATGGGAGTGGGAGGGACTTCTGTCGTATTGGTGGCCGCAGGTGAGGTGGGGGGGCGTTGGGTGGTGTGGCTGGAGCATGCTGCAGTGTGCTAGGCACATGGTGAGCACCCAGAAACCAGTCCTTACTGCTGGCTCTTCCCTGACACTCTGCCCTCTCGTCACGTCCACAGGACAGGGCAGTCTCAGCTGTGAGGATTGAAGGCCCTGGAACCTTCATCCCATCCTTCCAGGGACCTCTTCGAAGCATGCAGAGTGGGATATTAACTCTATTGCAAGTCGATTTTCTCCATCAGAAACATGAGGTATCTA